CCGGCTACGCTCCTGGCCAGAACAGTGACGCCGACAAGTCCGGTGACGCTCCTTCTGACAACGGCGATGCCTCCAAGGACGCTCCCGAGGACGACGGCGACAACAGCCAGCCCGCTGGATACGCTCCTGGCCAAAACGCTGATGCTGACAAGTCTGGCGATGCGCCCGCGGACAACGGCGACGCTTCCAAGGACGCCCCCAAGGACGACGGCGACAACAGCCAGCCCGCTGGTTACGCGCCCGGCCAGAACGCTGATGCCGACAAGTCTGGCGACGCTCCTGCCGACAATGGCGATGCGAGCAAGCCCGCTGGTGACGACTGCGAGAAGGGCAAGGACGCCGACAAGAACGGCGATGCGTCCAAGGACTCGCCCGACTCTGGTGACCAGGACTCGGACGACTCGGATGACTCGGACGATGCCCCTGCTGACAACGGTGCCGACAGCAAGCCTGCTGGCTACGCGCCCAACCAGAACGGAGACGCCGATGCCAACTAAGCAGTTCGGTGATCAGTTGTATCTCGTCTCGTCTGTTATCTCTTTGCTCCCCCCTTTGCTCTTGACTCCACTCTCTCTCCAGGTCGATCTTGTGTCGCCAAGCTTAGGCTTGGTGTCTCGATCGCCTCCCCGGCTCCTCATCTTCTTCGCCGGGTTCCATCTTCACATTCCTTCTGCCCCCTCTTCTTTCTTTTTGCATGTTTCGAAAATGGCCAGTCTTTCTTTCACCTTTGTTCCGACTTGACTCGTGTGTGCTGAGTATGAGTTACGATGGCGTTGGCATTCTCGCGGATGATTCCGGCCGTCGAGGATTTGCGCGGGATGGTGGCAAAGGAAGATGGAAATATGGAGGTGCTCGGGAAGACGCGTGGCAGGAATAGCCGGGCCGGTGCAGTGGAGAACCCGGTTACGGCTCGAGCGCCGTTGAAACCGTCTCCGCCATCGTTGCACACACGTTGCTTCCGCGTACTAACCCTCCATCCTCCAATCCTCTTGATCATCTCTCAAGAAATGCAGGTCAAAGGCCACGTCTACTACGTCACTGGCGGTGCGTCTGGGCTGGGTGCTGCCACCGCCGCACACCTGCACGCTCTGGGTGCGTACGTGTCGATCATGGATCTGCAGCTGGAGCAGGGTCAGAAGCTGGCCACCGATCTCAACGCACGCGGCGGCGGCGGGGACAAGCGAGCAGCCGCGTTCGAGGTAGATGTGTGCGACGAAGCCGCGGTACAAGCCGCCATTTCCGGGTCGGACAAGCTGTGGCCCAACATCCCTGTCGGCGGCTGTGTCAACTGCGGCGGTGTGGGTATGGCAGGAAAGATCATCAACTCGGAAGGCGAGCCGTTTGACCTCGATGTCTTCCGTCGTACGGTGGAGATCAACCTCATCGGCACGTTCAATGTGTCGCGCCTTACAGCTGCGCGTCTGGTGCGCGACCTGCCCAAGCCGATCCCCAAGCCTACGGAAGAGACCAAGGATCTGGGCGTGATCATCAACACTGCCTCCGCAGCTGCACTCGAAGGCCAGGCTGGTCAGTGCCCCTACTCGGCCAGCAAAGGCGGCGTGCTGTCGCTCACGCTACCCATGGCAAGGGATCTGGCTTGGTTCGGTATCCGCGTCATGACGCTCGTGCCCACGCTGTTCGAAACGCCAATGATGGCCCAACTGCCAAAGAGGGCCCGACAGGCTATACTCCGCACGTGCGAGTTCCCGGCAAGGTTCGGCCACCCAGACGAGTTCGCTCTCTCGGTCCAAAGCGTCATTGAGAACCCCATGCTCGTAAGTCCCAATCCTAGTCAATCACATCTCACGCATGCCTCTGACTCTTACGCTTGCCTCGTCCGCACAGAACGGCTCCTACATCCGCCTCGACGGCGCCTCGCGTCTCGGAAAGCTCTGATCCACCACACACGCCCGACTCTGCTCAATCTCCAGCCAACAGCCTCCAAATACTGTTAGAAATCTACGAGATGCATTGCAATGCGGTCTGAAACCAAGCGCAGCCGAAGCTTCAGTCGTCGTCGTCGTCGAACTTGATGCTGTGGGAGCCGTAGACGTCGATGGCGCCTCCGCGGTACGAGCCGCGCTTCTTCTTGTTCTTCTCCTTTGTGAAGCCCTTTCCGCGCGTGACGATGAGGTCGCGGCTGGCGCGCGCGCCGTACTCGTCGCCGTTGAGACCGATGCCCGCGTACGACATGTCCTTCATACGGTCGTCGAGGTACGTCACCTTGTCCGCCTTGACGCGCTGGAACGGCGTGTTCTGGCCCACTGGCTTACGGCCCGAGCCGGTGGCAGGCGCCGGTGGCGCAGGGCGAGAAGGCGTGCTGGTGGAAGCGACGGGAGCAGCAACCGCAGCAGCAGCCGCAGTAGCAGCGACGGCGGCGACTTCAGGGTCGGTCTTCTGACGCTTGGCAGGAGGGCCCTTTGGGGAAGGAGACGACGAGTCTGAGCCACCGCTGCTGCTGCTGGAGCTGGAAGACGACGAGTCGGAAGAGCTGTCGCTCTCATCGCCAGATTCCGAGGAGGAGGAGGAGCCGCCGCTGCTGCTGCTACCCGAGCTCGAGTCAGAGTCGGAGCCAGAGTCCGAGTCAGAGTCAGAGTCGGAGGAGTCAGAGCTGTCGGAAGAGCTGCTGTCGTCGCCGTCGCCGTTCGGGGCCGAGACCTTGGCTACCACCTCTTCGTCGCTCGACGAGTCCGAGTCCGAATCGGAATCAGAGCTCGAGTCGCTCGAGTCGCTCGAATCCGAATCCGAGTCGGAGTCAGAGTCGGAAGAGGCAACCTCGACCACAACGGTCTCGACCGTCTTCACGGTCGGCTCTTCCTTGTCGTCGTCGCTGTCGCTGTTGTCGGAGTCGGAGTCGGAGTCGGAGTCGGAGTCGGAGTCGGAGTCCGAGTCCGAGTCGCTGGACTCATCGTCGCTGTCCTCGTCGCTGCTGCTGTCGCTGTCGCTGCTCTCATCGTCGCTGTCGTCCGAGTCCGAGTCCGAGGAGGACGTGGAAGCTGCGCGCTTGCGCTTGTGGGTGATGGCGGCGGACGGACCGGCCGACGAAGCGCCTGTGGGCGTGGCGATGCCCTTGCTGGGAAGCTCTGCCTCTGCCTCGTCCTGCGAGTCCGAGACGATGGTGGAAGAGGCAGCCTCGTGGTCCTGGTGGGGCTTCTCGTTCTTCGCGGCCTTGACCTTCTTGTCTTCCTCCGAGTCGCTGTCGTCGCTGCCATCGTCACTCGAGTCGCTATCGCTGTCGCTGTCGCTCGAGTCCGAGTCCGAGTCCGAGTCGGAAGAGGAGCTAGAGCTCGAGCTCGAGCTTGAGTCGGAGGAAGACGAGTCAGAGTCGCTATCTTCATCCATGGGAGTGGGCGAGGACGGGGCTGCTGCTGCCTGGGCGGCCAGACCGGGCCAGGACCTCCTTGGCGAGTTGCGGACGTGGTCTACGAGCGCAGAAGCGAGGGTCCTGGGCGGGGCGGGGGAGTCGGGGAGGGTGGCAGCGAGTTGCGCAGCGGCGTTGGGAGCATGCTCGGCGAGGAAGGCGTGCACGATCTGGAACGTGTTGCGCAGCGCGTCGTCGGCGGCCGCAGATGTGGAGTTCGGTGGGACCTGGGGCATCTTGATATGCTTCGGCTTTGGAGGCCCCGTTATCTCTGGGAGTGGTTGCGGCTTGCCTTTGGGCAATGAAACCTCGGACAACTCGATGCCGCTTTTGGACGCTGCGAAATCGCCTACCGGGATCGAAGGGGCGATTTGTATGGGACGCCTCTGAACGTTGGAGGTGCCACTCTATGATCAGATGATGTTGGTGAAGGAGAGAAGGGGAAAAGTTAGGCCGAACAGCTTGGCCAGCGGTTTGGCGCCACCGGCAAAGAAAAAGGGTCCTTTTGATCTTCTGAAATTTGGCTGTGCAGCGGGAGAGGGACCCAGCCGAAGCGGAAAAAGTTTGGGCGCGTAAAAACTGAACCCTGAGCCAGCGCGATAAAGCTCTAATTCCTGTCACGCTTATGTCAGCCTTCAACGCGGCCGCCAATATGCCTCCACACCCCTTCTTCTTACACAACAGCCGCACCACCCGTGCATTTGTCTCAGTCAGGCGAGCGATCCCACCGTCGCTTTGGAACAACACCCACCCACCTCATCCTCTCGTTCCGGAGGACACGGAAGCTGTTGCGTCTCGATAACCATGTCGGAACAGCCATCGACGTCTGGCGCACAGGCCGCTGCGAACGAAGCGCCGCTGTCGGCGCTCAGCACCTCTACGCTCGGTGCGGCTCCTAAGCGTGTGCGACATCGCGAGGAACAGATCGAGTCGGCCTACGAGCTCCAACGTGTAAGTCCATCCCACCTCGCTACAGTCTGCCTGGCTGTACACTCACACCTTGGGTCTGCTTCACAGAATGCGGCAATGAAAGGCGCATTGTTGTACACGGCGCTTGGAGCATCGACATGTTTCATGGCACACCACCTCTTCCCTGGGTTTCGTCGACAAACTCTCGCGTTGAAGGGATTCCTCACGTCGGGCGCCACGATCTTTGGCTTTGTGGTGGGCGCGGATACGGTGCTGCTGAGCCACGAATCGCAGCAGCGCAGCGAGGAGAACATGGTGCGCAGCCGGGCGCGTGCCGAGCTTGGAAAGAAGGGCATCGTGGCGAGCGAAAAGGAGATCGAAAAGTGGAAGGACGAGTACATTCAACTCAAACTAGAGGAACGCAGAAAGAGGAGAGAGCAGCTGTTGAAAGATATGGAACAGTCAGACGACGCGGCAGCATCTCCACCACCAGCTTAAGCACACCCGGCAATACAGACAGTATGAACGCGCACTTTCGAGGTTCGACACCACCAGCACTGACGTGTTGCATAGGGTGACAGCTAGATTACACGAGGGCGATAAGTGTCGCACTGACGGGGCGGACAACGTTGGATCCTGGCTCGCGCACGAGCAGCAAGTTGCGCGTCTCGACAGCATTGCGCGGTCTCCTCGTTGTCGTAGCCTCGCCGTCTCGCTGCCTGTCCATCCTCTCCTGCCACTCCGTTAGCACCATCCATGCGCGCAGCGTGAGGGCACCGACACCGAACCCTCTGCCGTTGCTGAGCGAGTAGTCGCCGTCCAACACTGTGCCGACCGCATTGTTCCAGTTCGCACTGCGCTCGTGCATCTCCTCAGGCTCCATGGCGGCGAACGTGTACTCGCGCCACACGCCGCTGATCGGCTTGAATCTGATCGACTGTGCAGGAGTACCCCCGCCGAGCTGCATCACCTTGCACCTGCGCTCGACCAACGCCTTGAGATACTGCTTGTCCATCTTGTCGCCTGCCGCTGCGGTTCGATTGCGAACCAAGGCAGGGTGGTTGATCGGGTCGAGATGATGCACCCAGTGCTCGTGCTCCTCGAACGTAGGTGCCAGCATGACACTGCTTAATGCCATCACAGTGCCTTTGCGCACCGCCTGCAGCTTGACCGCAACCATGGCCGAGGCCAGACTTGACGCCGAAAGCCTCGCCTCGATCCCTGCGACACGCGCAAGGTCGACGTCAAGCTGCGCTACCAACCACGGCAGGATGGTCTCAACCTCCTTGCCTCCGCCGTACAGGCGCTGAGAATTGCCAACGATCCACTCCCAGTAATGAGAGCCTCCGAACGGATACGGCCTCGCAACGCCCGTTCGATCATACGCCAGTTTCGCCTCGACCTCCTCTGTCGTCTTGCTCTGCTGGAACGCAGCCCAGTCCTTGTGAGATGCAAACGCGAACTCGGAGCGTTTGCCTTTTGGTCTCTTACTCCACTGCTCGTACCGCGCGACTTCGGCCCGCTTCTCGCTGTCCGCGTACGCGCGAGTGCCGAGCCAGTTGTGCGGGTAGCTCAGCATGCTCGCCGCCGCATGCTCGCCCGCTGCCTGTGCCTGCGCAGCTAGCTCCAGCTTCTGGTGTCGCAGTTGGTGCTGGCCCAGCACTCGCGCTCCGCTCGACGCGCCCGATTGATGCGTTGCCACGAGCGAGAGGAAGAACGCGGTACCCCAGCCGCGCGGCACCACCAGCATGTATCGATCCACCTTGCCAGCAAGCCGGTCGCGCATCACCACGACGGGGACGACGTCGTCGCGCGCGTCCGGCTGCAGCCGAGCACCGGGTATCGCATTCAGCGCGCGCCGCGAGTCGATCTCGCCTTTGCTGAATGTAGGTGGTGGCGCTCCTGTCCAGAACAGGTCGTCGTGATGTGAGTCTGCGTCGCCGGTCGCTTTGACCGAATCCCCAGTGGTGGACTGTGTTGTCGACACAGGTTTCAATCTCGGCGGGTACGAGAGTCGAGGGTCGTTCACTCGCACCTGCACCATCTCGGGACTGTCTCTTTTTGATGTCTTTCTGTGCTTTTCAAGCAGTTGCCGCAACCTCAAGCCATCCGCATTGCCCTCGGCTCCGTCTTGGCACTTGAGCACGCTCCGGAGCAGTGAAGCGGCCTTCGGCCCTACGAGTTCGAAGATGTTGAGTCCCTGCTTGCGTTTGAGCTCTGCCTTGTCGTCGAGCAGCATTGTTTCTTGCGCCTGCTTACTCAAAGACTCCGTCTTGTCGCTCTTTGCGGAGCCAGTTTGGTATGCGTGCCGTCTGCGCTTCTTCTCGAGCTTGGAGAGCGAGCTGTCTTTGCCTCCTGCTGCGAGCCACGGGTCGGGTGTGGAGTCGAGCTGGAACGCGTACGCCTGCATCACGCCGGGCGCTGGAAGCTCGAGGTCGAAGAGCGCGTTCTTGTTCTCGTCGATCATTGTCACGTTGGCGGCCTTGAGAGCGCGACGGACGTAGATGTCGGCGGCCGGATGGACAATGAGAAGCGCCTCCTTGCAACTGTGGGTATGCGTCGTTTCCTGATCCAGAGACGGCCGCTCGAACAGGCGCGTTCCCGACAGGATCACAACTCGGACCGGAGCAAGGGCGGCAGCTACAGTGTCCTTCTCCGATTGGGTACTGCTCGTTGGATCGGATGTGGGTCGGACGAGGACAGTGTCGATGACGCGATGCGACTCGGTCACATCTTCCAACTTCAGCTCTGCAGCCTTTGCGAGACCAACTTTGGCGAGAACTTGGTGCAACTGCTCTGCAAGGGCCGCAAAGACGTCATCAGCGGCCGATGCTTGTGCTCGCCTGACGCCCACACGAAAGACCCGAAAGTAACTTGCATCGTGGACGGTGACGAACTCGAGTGCGCTGCGCCAGCTTGCGCGGTGGCTCTTCATCATGGTCGTTTCTGGTAGCACAAATCCCCATCTGTTGTGTTCGGTACCCTGCTCGCGCTCCTTGCCCTTGCCCTTTTCGGTGGTCATTCTGAAGCGCTTGGCGTGCCAAAGATGCGTCTCAAGCCAGCGCCGTTGCGGATGCGAGGCGCGCTCGGCTAGTTTCTTGCGGCGCAGTGTAGCTCGAATGACGCCGTAGCTGGGAAGCCGCTTCCTGATGTCCGAGCGTGTGCGGGCCAGTGTTGTGCTGCTGCGAAGCTCGGCGAGCGCCTTGGAGCGGAGGCGAGTGGGGAGGCGGAGAAGGTTGTGGGAAGCAGCACGCCGGCGTGCGTGTCGTGGAAGCAGCTGCCATGCTCGTGTTGTAGTTGCCGACTTGGCCGACTTTATCGAGCGCAGAAAGCTCTGGATCTGGAAGGCGCGCGTCGAGACGAGAGACTCGAGCTCGATGCTGGTTGGCAGACCCGCGGCCGCAGTGGCAAGCTGAGTGGGGACAGGCGTCGAGGACTTGGACGTATTGCGCGAGCTGCTGGCAGAGGAAGTTGCTAACGCGGTCTGTGTCTCGATGAAGCGGGCGGTATGTGCTCGCTCCTGCTTGCGCTTCTTCCAGTTCTGTGCCTGCTGCTGGTCACGGCTAGACGGTGCGGTCGACACGCCCTGCGAGGACGACGGCCCGGGCCCCGCTGACGGCGCTAGACGCTTCTTGGACGACATTCCCTCCCAGTACTGACAGACGGAGCTGCACAGACACGGTGGCCGATCGCAGTGTTAGGATGTGGTCGGAAGGAGGAGCTTCTCCTTCGCAGGAAGAAGAACACACAACCTCGAGCCCAAAAAAATCAAAATCCGAGGTGGAGCGACTCCACCTGCAGACCCTTCTTCCTCAGGGTTCCGGCCGACAGTCCAGTTCCAGGCGCGTTGTTGCTACGCACAGGGCAGGTTCTGGCTTAACAACTGTGGGGGAGGCTCAAAATTCAGTACAGTGGGGAAAAAGGACAGGGGCGGCGGACCCACCACTGAGCGGCGGCGCAACGCAAAGCTCAAACCCAGCCAGCCAAGCGCTTCTTCCAGGCGCCCCTGCGCACGCTCGAGCTAAAGCCATCCGAGCGAGTCGTGACGCTGCTGCTGTTGGCTGTCGGCATCACCGAGGTGTTGGGTTCGTCCGAGATCCTTTGCAACCGTCACGTCTGCACTTCGTCCTGTCGGCCCCCTTCCGACAGCGTCGTTGACAGCCGTCGCAAGCGCCATCTTCGCTAGTCCTTGCTCCTCCGTTGCAGCGGTCACCCATCTCGCCTCAGCTGTGTTGTCGCCAGTCTTTCCAGCATGGCATCGACACAGAGCAGTGGTCTCCAGAGGCGACGCGGTGCAGGAGCCGCTATCGCCGCCGCTGGTCCCAGCACATCCGCCAGCCGTATCGACGACGACGACTACACACCTTCGCGCACCGGCTCGCCCGCCCCCGCCGGCTCCTCGACACCAACACGCAGCGCCGCTGGCATTCCCGCATCCGCCTATGGGTCTCGTTCGGCAACCGGCTCCGTGACCACATACGACGAGTCCACAGGTCATCGAGTAGCCTACGACCCGCGCGACCTCAATGACGAGCGCGAGATCGGCGAGAACCCGCGTCTGACGCTCATGGAGGAGATCCTGCTGCTCGGTCTCAAGGACAGGCAGGGCTACCTCTCGTTCTGGAACGACAACATCTCTTACACGCTGCGCGGATGCATACTCATCGAGCTCGCGCTTCGACGCCGCATTGCTATCACCAAGGACCCCATGCGCAAACGCTTCGGCCTCACCGAGCGAATGGTCGACGTCATCGACGCAAAGATGACCGGAGAAGTGCTGCTCGATGAGGCGCTCAAGATGATGAAGGCGAGCGAGCGCATGTCCGTCGCCCAGTGGGTCGATCTCATGAGCGGTAAGTTCTGCCTGACATCCTGCCGTTTATGTCCTTGTCTCCCATACTGACCTGTTGATACACCTTGGCGCGTGCTTGCAGGTGAGACGTGGAACGTGATGAAGATCGGGTACCAGCTCAAGCAGGTGCGCGAGCGCCTGGCCAAGGGGCTGGTGGACAAGGGCATCCTGCGCACCGAGAAGCGCAACTTCTTGCTGTTCGACATGGCCACGCATCCGCTCAACGACACGAGCTGCAAGGACGCCGTGTTGCGGCGGGTGCTCACGCTTCTCACCTCGAATTCGCCCAGCGTGCACGCAGGCACCTTCTACAAGGAGGATGCCTCGTCGAGTGGACGACCCGTTGCACTGCGCGTCACGCGTGCGCTGTGCCTGCTCTGCTGCTCCTTCTCCGCGAACGTACTGGAGAACGCGCTGAACCATCTCTCGTACGAAGCGCGCGAGTCGGCGTTCCAAAAGGCGGACGACATTCTCGAGGAGTTTGCCTGCTGGCCTATGGCGCCCAGCTCTGGTCTTGCTGGCGGTGGCGTCGGCGGCGGGAGCGGCTCGGGTGTGCCCACGTCGATTTCGTCCAACGGACCCAAGTCCAAGGCGAATGGAGGCGCGAGGATCGGCGAAGGGTCGATGCTCAACGAGCGTGCCTACGACGAAGGAGTGGTGGGCGCATCCACTCAGGAACTCGCAAAGGCGCTGCAGAAGGAACTCGACCAAGAGGGCGATACCTTTATGTTTGAATGCATCGCAGCCGTGCTCAACGTGCTCAGCAGAATGGACTCGCTCTTGTAAGCATTTCCACAGCGCCAGGTATGCAAGTAAAGGAACCATGCGATTGCGCGAACAAGTACAAAAAGCGTGTGCGAAGATGGATTTAGATCGACATCATGTCGTCGTCTTCATCGACGGGTTCCTCCATCATCTCTCCTCGTGCAGTGGCGGTGAGCAATTCTCTCCTGACTTCGGGCGAGATGCCTTCGTGTTTCTGGACGCGCAGCAAATCGAGCAGCGCCGACTTCTGATCGGGCGTAAGGTCCTGCTTGTACCTCTGAGCAAACACGAGCATGCTCTGGTGCCACAGCACGGGCATCCTCCTCTCGCGCGTGATCTTGTCGAGCTCCACACCCGAGTTGGGCTCTGCAAATCGGAGGTAGTGGAAGACCAACGAGTCGACCACCTTGTACGGCAACGCATACTTCTTGTCGAGCAATACACGGATGAAGAGCGACGTAGGACCCGAGTACTCCATCTCTGCCAGTCGCAGCAGCGCAGCAGCCGAGTGCAGCACGGGAATCGAAACCTTGGCAAGCACCGACGAAACAATCGCCGCCTCCTTGAGTGTAAGCGTTCCAGACTCGCACATGGGGAAGAGGAAGCCCTTGAAGAAGGCAGCTGGCTTGTAGATCGCCTTCTTCATGGCTTCGTAGGTCTGGTACGACACCTTGCCTTCGTCCTGAATCTCGTCGCGCACCTTGTCGAGCAGCACGAGCTCGTAGAAGCGCTGCATCTGGTCGGCCTTCATGGTGGAGACAAAGATGCGCACGGCAGCGAGCGTCGCATGCGGTGTCCACGATGCCGGGTCGGTGATGTAGAGAATCGACTCCCACGCCGGCAGCGACGGCACGATCTTGAACGCCTTGGGCAGCGGACCGGACTTGTACCTTGAGAGGAGCTCGCCGACCTTGCGGTAGACCTCGATGACCTTGGGGTTGATGCCCGGCGGCATGCGTCGCTCCTCGAGCTCCTGCTGGCTCGGTCCGTCACCTGCTGCCTCGGCGGCTTCGATCTTTTCCATGATGAGATCGGCGAGCGTCTTGTTGCCGCGACCGCCGAATGCGCCCGGTGCGGGTGCATCGTCGTCGTCGGCCTCGTCATCGAGACGGTGCTCGGCCTCAAACTTGTCGAGAAGCGCGCGGTCGGACGGGTCGATCTCGAGGTTGGCATCGTACGAGGCCCAGCCGTTGGCGCCCATCTCTGCCTCGTCGTCGCTCAGCTCGCCGAGGTCGCTGAGGTCGGCCTCGTCGTCGTCCGAGTCGTCGGGCATGGCTGCGGATGCCGACGCACGGGGGGCGTCACGGGCAGCGGGGGTATTTGAAGCAGAGGACGAGGATGCCGCGGTAGCCGAAGGGTTCTGAAGCTCCAGCTCCTCGCGTTCGATCTCTTCTTGCTGCTGCCGCGCGAGACGGAGGATGTTTCTGGAGAGCTTGGGGTCGATGTACTTTTTGTCGGGCTGGCTGCCGCCTGCCTTGCCGCCAGTGACCATACCCTGGGGCGCGGCATACTGCGCCTGGTCCTCTTCGTCGTCTGAAGCGGACTGAGGCTTAGATTTCTTGGTGCGACGACCAGGTGCCGAGACGAGACCGAACTTGCTTGTGAGCTGGTCCTGCTGCAGCTGCTGTGGAAGTGGGTTGTGGCGCTGCGCGCCGGCCTTCTTGGCCAGCTTGGCGGTGGGAATGCGGGGCATGACGGCGGACGATATGAGCGACCCTGTACGCTCTTGGATCGAGGCTGTCTTGGTAATGCGAGTGACGGGAAGAAGGGGGTATGATGGGCTGAAGAGGGTTCAACGCACCGTGTGCAGGATGTGCCTTGCCTGCAGCTTTCTTCTGACATGGCAGCGTTGCCTCAGCTTCAGCGCGCAGGAGGCTGAGAGAAAATTCTCAAATTTTGCTTGCACCTCGACGCCAAAGGGTCGTCAAAAAGTGCTGTGGGTCTTCCGAGAGCCGAAAAACGTTCTGAAACTGTTACGTCGCTTGCACAAAACAAATTTGGAAACGCCGGATAATCCTGCCCTGGTGAAAATGAGCAGCGAGGGCGGCGGCTCGGCTGAGGGTTCACGTCGCCGTGGCAGGGAGGCTGGTGCTCATGCGACCGTCGGGAGGCGGTAGACGCTCAACCGCGTTGGCTTTTGGCGGCGCGACTCAGCTGAGCCACCCGCACACATTCCGCTCGCTTCCACACTTCCGTGCTTCCACGCTTCCACCGCCATTCGTGGGTCCGAGAGATGCGCGACGGCCGGCGACGCTGGGCTGCCCGCTCGGGTTTTGATTTAGCTTAATTTTTTCAGCAGGCTGGCGGTGTGCCTGTGTGGTTGCCCGCCTTTCATTGCATGCGGTGGTCCATCCATGCCTCGTCCATTCGCCTGCTGCCCGTCTGCGAGTCGCTGCGCGTTGCTGTGATTCGTCCGGCAGCTGGCAGTCGGCACAGATCTGACTTTGCGCTTTGGAGTTGGATGGGCTGCGGCCCTCGACGAGCCTGCCTCGCCTCGCTGCCTGCCCGCCTGCCTGCCTCTGCCAACGGGGTTCGGACGCCAGTCGGCACACGCTCCTCTGTCTCTCCCTCTCCCGCTCGACTTGCATAGGCTCGTGGCAGAGCAAAGCGATCTGAGCGCAATCGTGAATTTGAGCGTGGATCCATCCAGCCGCGCCCTATCCCTTCCCCGTCGTCCGTCGCCCGCTGCAATCCTTCTACATCCGCTTGCTCGTTAGCTGGCTCTCGTCTCTCTCCCTCTCTCTCCATCTGCATCCTTTCCCTTCACCACTCCGGCCTTCTCGCCGATTGTACCATATCCGCTTCCACCGCGTCGCCTCCGCACCCCTTGGCACATCCGCAGCGCGTGCTTCGCCATCAACCACCAGCACGCGCATCCAACCCCTCAACGCGCACGGCCTCGATCGGGATTTCTCGGCCTGCTTTCAGCTACGGACGACCCGCTTGCCACGCAACCTTAGCTCGGCACAGCTCAGCCGTCTAGCATCACGGCGTCGCGCGAGCACTGTGCAGCCAGACTCCCGCGAGTCATCACACGCTCGCACTTCGGCTGATCCAGCTGCATCACATCTGGCACCTGCTCTGTCAACCTGGTCTCTTCATCGCCGGATCGATTGCCCCAGCAGTAACATCTAGAACACCCTCGGCTTTTACCTCTCGTAACCCGACGTCGCTACTTCGTTGCTACAATGTACAACCATCGTTCCATCGTGCCTTCTGCAGGCTCGCAGGGCCCTCCTTCCGGCCCACCTCCTCCAGGTGCTCCCGGTGGCGCCGGCCCTTCCCAGGCTGCTGCAGGTGCACCTCATCCAGGAGGCCCAGTTGCCGGTGGTCCCAGCGGCCCCGCGCCTCCTGGCCCTCCTGGCGCCGCCGCCGGTCCTCCCGGTGGTGCACCACCCGCAGGAGCACCGCACACCAGCTCCGCACGTCTTGCAGACCTTCTCGACTTTGTCCGACACGAGTTCGACCTGCTCGGCAACGATACCGCACAATTCAAGGCGCAACGCGACGAAATGGAACATCGAGGTACGTCCGCTCGCCTTCCATCCACCTTCGCCTCGCCTACGCATCGCCTGCTTGACACGACAGTTGCTCATCCTTTACCCTCTCCTCTTTCTTCGCGCAGTCACGCAACAAATCAGCGAAGTCAACATGATGCAGAACCACTTTTACGACCTCGAAAAGCGGCACTCCCAGATCATTCAGCAGTGAGTCAACCATCCGCGCATCCACGCCCTCATCGCTCGTGCCGCATCCTTCCTTTCTCACCACTGATTTCACCCTACAATCCTTCCCGTCTCGCAGGTACGAAGAGGAAGTCAAGCGTCTCCGCAGCATCCTCGACTCCAGAGGCTTGTCCGCAGAACACGGCGCCGCTCCCACATCAGGCCCCATGGGCGGTCCTCCTCATCTGCCTGCCTCGGGTGCATCGGGTCCGCTGCCAATCGCTTCGGCCGGTGGTCCCCCGCCCCCTGGTGGCCCTGGTGGCCCGGGCTCTGCTGGCATGTTCGGTCCCAACGGCAACGGTTCTGGTCCTGGACCCGCCTCCGAGCACGGTCGTGGCCCCAACGGCTTCGACCGAGAACGCGAGCCCGTGCGTGGCCCCACCCCTGGCGGCAAGGACGCAAAGCGCATGCGCGTCGAGGGCCCCGGATCGCACTACAGCGGCCCGCCCAGCCCGGGCCCGGATCGCGAGCGCGACTGGATCAAGAAGGAGGAACGCGACCGTGCGCATCGCGACGAAAAGTGGGAACGCGATCCCCGCGGTACTGGACCGCCACTCGGTCCGGGTCCAGCGCAGTCGCCGCACGGCGCACCACCCCTCCCGCCTTCCAACTCGTACAATCGTGACATTCACCGCGAGCGCGAGCGTGGCGAGCGTCCCGGCGAGGGCCCCTCGCGTGCCGACTCGCCCGGCGCCGCCGCAGCTGCGGCCGGCAACGTCTCGCTCGCCAGCCTCAGCGACATGGACCCAGACGAGATCCCTAAAGAGCTCAAGAAGGAAGGCCCCGACTGGCTCGCCATCTTCAACCCCAAGGTGAAGCGCACGCTCGACGTCAACCTCGTCCACACCTTTTTGCACGAGAGCGTCGTCTGCTGCGTGCGCTTCTCGGCCGACGGCAAGTTCCTCGCCACGGGTTGCAACAAGTCGGCGCAGATCTTTGACACAAAGACGGGCGCAAAGACGTGCGTGCTCACCGACCAGTCGGCCAACTCCAAGGGCGATCTGTACATCCGCAGCGTCTGCTTCAGCCCCGACGGCAAGTGTCTCGCGACGGGTGCCGAGGACAGGCAGATCCGCATCTGGGACATCAGCAAGAAGAAGGTCAAGCACCTCTTTTCGGGCCACAAGCAGGAGATCTACTCGCTCGACTACTCCAAGGACGGACGCATCATCGCGTCGGGTTCGGGCGACAAGACGGTGCGCATCTGGGATGTGGAGAACGGTCAGCTGCTGCACACGCTCTACACCTCGCCCGGTCTCGAACACGGGCCTAGCGAGGCGGGCGTGACGTCGGTGAGCATCTCGTCCGACAACAGGTTGGTAGCTGCGGGCGCACTCGACACGCTCGTTCGCGTCTGGGATGCCCAGACCGGCAAGCAGCTCGAGCGACTCAAGAGCCACAAGGACTCGATCTATTCCGTCTCGTTTGCGCCCGATGGCAAGTCGCTCGTTTCGGGCAGTCTGGACAAGACGCTCAAGCTGTGGGATCTCACTGGAACCGCCAAGGCGGTGCAGGAGAACAGGGCCGAGGAGAAGGGCGGTCACGCCACGTGTGCCACCACCTTTGTCGGGCACAAGGACTACGTGCTCTCGGTGTCGTGCAGTCCCGATGGTCAGTGGGTCGCAAGTGGTAGCAAGGACCGCGGCGTTCAGTTCTGGGACCCACAGACGGCTCAGGCGCAGTTCGTGCTGCAGGGCCACAAGAACTCGGTGATCGCCATCAACCTCAGCCCCGCCGGAGGCTTACTGGCCACGGGAAGCGGCGACTTCAATGCCAGAATCTGGTCGTACGACCGCATCTAAACCCCTAATCCCCTCCAAAAATGTACTTTTCCCTCCTCACCATCCCCGCTGCTCATTGGCGTTGCATATTGTTCGCTCTATGGTCTCAGTTACCTTCCGTTCAAATCGCTTTGGGTGCATGATGTTTGTGTGCGCGCAACACGCAGCGATGAGTCAGATCCACGATCAACGAAGGTAGGAGGAGGCTGGTCGAAACAAAAAATGGCATGACAACGAAACCGTGACCCTAAGTTATGACAACAATTGTTCTTTTACAGGCCTGTTTATCCCCTGTTTATGATCTTCCGATGCCCTTGGCGAGCACTTCGCGCACGAGCACAAAGCCCACGCCTGCACCCAGACCGAGCATGTATGCCGGGATAGCGCCGATGGCAAGCAGCTGCTTCTCGTGCTCGCTCTCGGGCCGGCCCAGCAGCGCGTCGAGGCTCAGCTCCTCCTCCACCTCGGCACCACGCGACGGCTCGGCATAGTACGGGTTGAGCGAAGACAGGTACGACACCCAGCTTGAGGGTCGCCACCAGCCGCCCTTTTGCACGGGCACTTCCTCGGATCCTCCCTTGCTCGCAGTGGCAACTGGGACATCGTGGGCTTCGCTCGTGGCGGCGAGGACCGCATCGAGAATCTCGTCCGCTTCGCTACCTGTGGGCACGTCGTCTGTGCCCGCCGAAAACATGTCGCGCAGATTTGAGCCGGTGCCCACTGTGCCGTCGCGAGAGCCAGGCGCGCGATCGATCGACTCCAGCTGCTGCTCCAGATCCGTCATGCGCCGAGCGAGGCTCTCGAACCGCCGACGATCCACCAGCACCATCGACCGCTTCGAGACACTACCCGTCCCCGACGGGTGCGGCTCAATCACAGTCAGCGGCACCAGCAGCTTCGACCCAGTGTCAGCGGCAACTGCAGGCTCCGCAACGTCGACGGCAGAAACCGCCGGCGTGTCGACAGAGTCCTGCGTGCCAACGCCATTTTCGGCCGTCTCGTCCGCGGTGGCAGGCGCAACGATCGCAACAAAGTCGTCGCTGTCCGAGGCGGCGCGTCGCTCGAGCTCCGGCTCGATGGTGGCAGCGTCGATAGAATCAGCGCGCTCGCTGTTTGCTGCATCCACAGCTGGTTCGTCGACAGGCTCGGGCTCTGCGTCAACGACCTCTTGCTCAGGGGCAGGAAGGGGCTCGGCGACGAGCTCCATCCCTTCTTTGACAGCTTCGCCAGCGGCATCAGCAGCATCAGCAGGATCAGCTTCAACGGCGACATCGGCAGCATCGACGACGTCTTCGGCGTCTGCACTGTGAGCGTCTGCGTCAAGACCAAGCTCCTGATCGTCGCTGGGCTCAGCTGAGACGTCTTCCATAGACTCTTCTTGCGCGAGAACTTCGGCACTCGTCGCCAGTGCCGCTTCTGGCACGGCTTCCGACTCGGCTTCCGGCTCAGCGTGTGGTTCAATTTCGTTGGCAGCCGCCTCGGCACCAGCTTCGTTGAAAAGCGAAGAGAGGCGCTGCTCCACGGACGGTCTGCGGAGCATTGCGGCATCTGCATCACCTTCGATGGCGGAATCCTCGTACCGGTCCACGCACTTTTGCGCCGGCAGATCTGCGTCTTCGCTGTCGGCCTCTGAAACAACCTCGGGCTCCGGGAGATCAGCCTCTGCTTCCGACGCGACACGGTCGAGGCTGCGCCTGGGAAAGTTGACCGCATCGCACAGCATCGAGCTGGGCCTCGGGCCGTCAAAAACGCTATTGAGGCTCTTGCGGCTGGAGCTGCGGCCGAGCGTGCCGCCCCAGCCTTCTTCGTTTTCGGCGGCCATCGACTTTCGCGCCTCATTTGACTTTTGGCGCAGCATCGTGGCGCCCGGGAGCGACGCAAACAGCTCGCTGTTCTCTGAGTCGCCCTTGAGCAGCGAGAGTACCGCTTTGCCACGCCTACTGCCGAAAGTCGCGTCCCTGCCAGCGCGGCGGATCGAGCCGACCTGCGACAGAGGCTTGCGCGACGATGCCTCGGGCGGCATGAAGATGTACTCTCCCTTGTCGGCAGAGCCCACTTCTTCGTGTGCATCTGACTGCTGCGATTCCACATCCTGCTGGGAAGACGCGGGCTGCTCGAAGCTCGGGAGGGCAAGGGCATCGAGGGCCCTTTCTTCTGCAGATCGAAGTCGCGCAGTGCCGAACTGGGGTTCTGCGTCCTCTGCGATGGACTCAGCTTCGGAGAGGCCGAGCGCTTCGACGAGCTCGCGCGAGCTTTCTGTCCTGACGTGCAGGGGGTCGGTGTCGAGCGAAGCCAGCTCCTCTTCAGTATAGAGCGAGGCGCGGTACGGGCGCTCGGGTCGCAGAATGGAGGCGGCAGTGTGGGATCGAGTCAACTGCGCCTTCGCTGGCTCCTCCTGATCGTGGGCAGCAGCGCCATCGGCTGTAGGCTTACCAGCTTCGGCATGATCGGCTTCCGCCAGGATGGCTCGAATGACATCCTCATCGAGCACACTGTATCGAGGCTTGTGACCGCGCGAGTCCGCATCAGCGTCAGCATCCGCTTCGCTTTCGGTGGCACTGCACTCGGAAACAGACGTGTCGCCTTCGATCGAGAGACTGTCTTCCGAGCCGTGGCGGGTGAGTGCGGGCATGAGGGCGACCTCATCTGCGCTCTCACCCGCAGCCTCGTCGGCAAGCTGCATCTTGTGCTTTGAGTCTGCATGGTCTTGCTGCAAGGCTCGGCCGACGGCATCGGTGTCGTTGAGGTCGTTGAGGCCAAGCTCGCTGGCCAGCTCGTTGGCTTCCTGTTCGGTCAGCGCCGAGAGAAGCGCCTCGATGTCCTCCTTCTTGGCGCCGGCCGCAGACTCGAGCCAAGGGAAATCGGCCGTCGATCTGCGAGGACGGAGGGGGCGACGGAGCGAGAGCTTCTTTTGCTCGGACTCGGAAAGGATCTGTTGTGCCTGGCCACGGACATAGCCTTCACCGAAGACCGAGTCGACGGGCGAGCTCGACGGGTTGGCAGTGGGCATAGGCTCCGACTGGAAGGCATGAATGATGCCTCGAACCTTGCGACTGTCGCGCATGCGCTTGAGCGTAAGCTTGCTGGTGGTGGAAGAGCTGCGGACGATGCCATCCTTCTCTGCGCGCAGCTCAGAGTCGTCGAGTTCCTCGGCCTCCTCGCGAGCGAGATCGTGTGCAGACTTGGGCCAGCGAAGGGAGCCAGATTCGTAGCCCCAAATGCGCCCACGCAGGGCGTCACGGCGCAGCTTTCGGCCCGCCTCGACCATGAGCTTGCGCCACTTGAGGTTGAGGCCTTGGCGCTCGAGGTCGGACTCGCTGAGGCGCAGGAAGGCGCGGCCGCCCATGCGGGAGCTCCTCACGTAGGCGGTCACGTCCTCGACGACGGGGCGAGGAACTAGCCCGAGCACATGGGTGAGGTAGAGGGCCACCTGGGACGGCAGCCAGGCCTTGGGATTGTGCGGAAGGTTGGCAACAGCTTCGGCGAGGCGCTCCGACTCGGAGACGGAGCGAGCTGGATGCACGTTGAAGGAATGGAGCTCTGGAGTGCTGATGGAGCTCGACATGCGATGAATGGTGTTGCTGCGACGGGGCAGCTCCGGGTGTTCGCCCATCGGGCTGGTAGGAGGGGATTGAGCCAGGCGGGTAAAGCGAGGCGAAGAGGGAGAGCCTGGCAGGTTGGCCGCGGGCGGTGCTGAAGGCGTAGCAGTCTGAAGGCCCTTGGGACGAGACCGGGTTGATGTAGACATGGAGGTGGAGCGGGTCAGGTACGAGTATCCCTCAAAGACCTGGCCACCGGGGCTGAAACCGGCGACATTGGGAGCGGCCGGATTGGCAGCGAAGGAGCCGCTGCGTTTAGGATTGAGCGAGTAGCGAGGTCGCGAGGGCGTGGATATAGCGGGCGGATCGGTGCTAGCCATGATGGTTGATGCAAAAAGATGCTGGTTCTAAGCGCCCACTTGCTTGGATGATGATCGGGCTCGTGTAAAGGTCGTTGGGGTCGTGACGAGCGGCGTTAGAGGTCGTTATAAAGGAGGTCGAGGGAGCAAAGGGATCGACAGATGGTGAATGGCGGCAGAAGCCAGGTGGACGATGGTGGGAGGTGGAGTAGGATGACGGCCGCAGTACGTGCGACTTGTGAGTCTGCCTGGCCACGAGCGTTGCCAAGCGTCAGGGCAATTAAGCTCACTCAGGAGGCGGAAGAGGAAGATGAAAACCCTCAAGCAGGTGCGGATGCAACGCAAGCCCAGTCAGCACTTTCGTCAGGGACAGGCAGGCACATCTCTCGCTTCAAGAGGAAGCAACTCTACCTCGAACTAGACTGGCGCGTCCGCCGTGCCCCTGTCCGCAAAGAGGCAAAAGCGGCAGGCCGTGAGTGCAGGTTGCCAGTGTCGGTAGAGTGGATGCAGTGGCGCGTTGAGTATGCAGGGTCGTGTTGGTTGATGAGCCCCTAAACGGAAATTCATGCATCAGCCGCAACACCACATCCGCGTCTCTCATCCGACCGCGTCCAGCCGCCCAACGTCACGAATCCATGCCAACCGCCCAAGGCGGTTGCGAGGATGATCCGAGGGGCAGCGCTGGTCCCACGAGGCTCGCTTGCTCTGCTTCAGGGGTATCTTTGTATCCATCGCTGATCTTTGCGCAGACAATCGAGGCGCCTTCTGCCTAAGTCCAAGGGGGGTCAGTCGCGGGTTGACAGGGGCTGGGGGTTGAGGGCAGGCAGGCGCCACCTTTGGAAAAAAGGGGCCCGAACGTGGGAGCAGACGGCCGAGTGCCGACCCTGCATGCAACTTTCAGAAAACTCCACATGCTGCGCTCGGATCCCACCCGACCTCTCGCAGGCGCCTCAACGCTGCCACCAACTTTCACCTGCGACTCTCGCTTTCGGCTCGACCATGGGCGATCCAGCGCAGCCGGATGCCAGCGGATCGGCTGTCAGTGGGTCGGCTGCGCCGATCCAGCTCGCAACAATGGGCATGTTCATCATCGACACTTTCCGATTCATCGATCCGCGCACGGGGCAGGATCTGGGCAACCGCGGCCTCGAGGACCAGATCGGAGGTGGAGGATGCTACTTTGCCATTGGCGCGCGCATGTGGCTGCCTCCAGGCGCACTGCAGATGGTCATCGACCGAGGCTGCGATTGGAAGCCTGAGGACCAGCAGGTGCTGGATCGATACGACCAGACTGCCGCCACGACGTCCGCTGTGGGCCCGCCGTCCATGTGGCACTACCGTTCGCGGCCGGACCGCACGACCAGAGCCGTGAATATCTACACGGGCGAGCATCGCGGCTTTGACTATCTTTCGCCCAAGATCCGGCTCGAGCCGAGCGATCTGCTGGCGTGCTCACCCTGCGCGCCACCAGCGTTACCGCAGTGGATTCACCTCATCTGCTCGCCCGAGCGCGCACTGGAGACGATCGCTCAGATCAATGCCGTCCTCAATGCCGAGAAGAGTCCAGGTGCAAGGTCAGCGTCGAGCTTTCCTAAACTCGTCTACGAGCCAATACCGGACTCGTGCGTCTTTGACAACCTCGACGAGTGTCTGCGCGTTCTGCCTTCGCTGGCCGTGTTCAGTCCCAACCACGAGGAAGCAGCCGCATTACTCGGGCTCAGCACGGAATGGGAACACATTTGCCAGCAGGCCGCGGCAGATCCGACGGGCGGTACTCAGTCGATCATCGACTTTGTCACATCGAAACTGGCGGGCGGATTCGTTGCGCATCTGCAGCGAACGCACGCACCACCAGACGGCACGGCTGGCGAAGCATTTGGACCCATCATGTGCATTCGCAGCGGAGCCTGGGGCTCTGTCGTCGGAAGAGCTGGGCTGGGCTTCCAACACGTGCCCGCATGGCATTCGGCGTCGGCTCGTAAGGCTGAGGCTGAAGGAGGATTGGACTGCAGCCCGGAACGCATCCGAGATGTGACGGGCGCAGGCAACTCGTTCCTCGGCGGCTTCAGCGCTTACCTCGTGCAGACCGAGTCGCAGTCTCAGCTGGATCCCGGTACAAGGATGCGAGAGGCGGCAATGCACGGTGCTGTGTCCGCCTCGCTCGTCATCGAACAGCTCGGCCTGCCGCACTTCGACGTCGTCGATGGCAAGAAGCTCTGGAACGGGCACACAGCTGCTCAGAGACTAGAGCTGCTCAGAGATAGACAAACGCCTGCGAGCTAGCAAGCAAGCCGTGCGGACACATGCAATAGAGGCTCGCAGATCATTCGCGTGCCCGCAAGCAGTGAAGACAGCAGCTTCAATCAAGCGGGAAAAATATCCCCTAAAAAAGACCCAAAAAAGTGAGGCTGGAAAATGGCGATAACGCTGCGCCAATGAGGGTTCAGAGCTCTAAATTGCGGCGGCTTCGGAAGAAGCAGCGCCGAGCCGTTCATCGCGCCGACATTTGACACGTCCTGCGGGGTTGGGACTATCTTCGCCACATCGCATGTGAGCTCCAACTTGTTTCCGCACCACATCATCGACCGTCGACTCAAACCTTTACGATGGCGCATCCACAAACAGCGTTCGCGCCGCAGCAGTCGGTGAGCGACTTTTCTGCGCTCAACATCCTATGGCTTCTTCACGCTGCCATCGAGGCACCCGTTGCCTTCATCGGTCTCTTCCTCACGCGCGGCCTCGCTTTCAAGGATGAGATCAACAACACCATGAGCATCATCATCAAGGTAAGCTTTTCCTCTCGCTTTGTCGCATTGTTGACCTGGCCGACTAACTTTCAGCGCTGTTGTTGGAATGGGATAGATGTACGCAACGTTGGCATTGGCGCTGTCGATCGTCTGCCTGCTGCTGTACGGTCTGCCAGACTATCTGCCAGGCAAGAGGGCTGCAGCCATCCTGCTGTTGCTCTACCACGGTGTGGCGTCGTCGATCCTGCTCAATGCCGAGCCGTTTGTCGACTTTGTCTTCCCCGAGATTCTCGCCAAGCATGGCGTCCGCGTCGAAACGGTGTTCGGCGTCGCACACGGTATCCTCTCGCTGCTCACCGTGTCGTGGTGGCAAGCCTCGTTGGGCTCGGTCAAGGCGCAGGGCGGTGCTCCCGGCCCCGCTGCCCCGGCCGGCCGCCCCAAGGGTTCGAAGCGCAAGTAGCATGGTCGTTCCAGAAGCATGTAGCGCATCGTCCGGTGCGACTGGGGTCTCGATCTTCTAATACGCCGTTACACACGCCGTTTGTCCCTCATGGACCGTCGAGTCGGTGTGCAGCACGAGATCGTTTGATTGGATCCCCGATGCAAGTCATCGGCAACGAGGACTGAGATCTTGAGATGAGCCAGATTGGCAGTGGTGTGATCGGGCGATGGATCGCACACTGACGGCATGGATGCAGACGCTTCCCGTTCGCCAGGGAGTGCATGGCAGCTAAACGTCGAGGTGGCGGAGGGAGAGCCGAATCGAGTGGAAAAGGGCGAAATGCGGCACGGACCGCCGGCTGAGCTGCACGCACGCGTTCCTGTGAGAAAGGCATGCATCCCCGCCGGAGGCAGTGCACGCTCCAGCTCCGTAAAGTCTCGACCCACCACGCACCAGCCAGCCTGCTCGCTGTATCCGCGATACCCACAGCCTCACTCAACAAGCCCCGTTACTCATTATCACGACTCGATGGGCCACAATGAGTAGTTTGGTGGTGCATTGTGTCATTGCAACGGCAACGGTCGGCGCTGAGGCTGGGGGGCGGTATGCAGGCAGGCGTGGCTGAGGGGATACACGTCATGTTCAACGCTAGTTCGGCGTATGTGCATCAGATTGCATGTGCTCCTCCGCCCCTCGTTGCCATTTGTCCTCGTGTGTTTCGAGAGCCGCGGTGAGTCGGAACGTGAGAAGGAGGTGGAAAAAGAACACTTCGGCTGGCCACGGGAACCGCAGGCTTAGGAGAGGACCCGCCGGGCCAACAAAGTCCGCCTGGGACGGGCAAGCTCGGTTGGCCGAATGGTGGTCCGTTCGCCCATGCATGCATGCAGTGACGGAGCTGAGCGTGTCTCGGCCCCAGCCCAACACAGCCTCGGGCGGCGAAAGAACAACACCTCCTGCAGAACGTCCCCGCCACACACGGCCAACGGAAGGTGCTGGCACTTTTGCCCGCTCCTCGAAGGGGCAAGTGCGAAGCAGTTACCAGCGTCGAGTCCGTGCGTCCTCAACGACAAGACGTATATAACACCCTTCCTTCTCAGCACCATTCTTCGCTTTCACACACGACTCTCTTTCCTTCCACACCACACGCACACAAAAATCAGACACAATGTTCGGATTCGGTAACCACGAGGAGGCTGCTGACTTTGTCTGTACGTATCAACCTCTCGCTCGCGCATCATCCGGCACTGTTTACTGACGCTGTTGATTGTGGGATATGTAGACAACCAGGACCCGCAGGAGCACCAGTCCAAGTTCTCGCACGAGGCCGTCGGATTCGGTGCCGGCTTCGTCGCCATGCGCGAGTACGAGAAGCGCCAGGAGTCCAAGGGCGAACACCCCAAGCACGAGTTCGCCAAGGAGATGCTCGCAGGCATCGCAGGCGCAGAGGTCGACAAGCTCTTCGAGACCAAGGGCCTTGACTTCCTCGACCGCGAAGAGGCAAAGCGCCACGCCCGCAAGCAGGCCGAGCAGCTCTACGACCAGCAGTACGGAAACTAATCGCGACCCTCCAATCGTCGTATTGCCAGTCAAAGTAATCTGATCGTCCCCCAGTATCGCCTGCCATTGTTGGCTCATTGTCGTCTGCCTGAGCATCTGTGCTTGTCATAGTCCGCTTCAATTTGCGTGCTCATCCTGGTAGGGGCTCGCATCGGCAGTCGTGGCTGCATCGTGGCCTTAGATTGTCGATGCCTGGGGATGCTGGAGTGAATGATGCGATTCGTATGGACAAGACTGGTGTTACAGAGAGGACTCGGGGGCCGATCTAGCGGACAGCCTTGTGCGTGTCGGCGAAGCGGAGGTGCGTCTCGTAGAATTTGATGACCTTCTGCGGGCAGCGTTCGTTGGCCGTCTTGTTGGCCACCCAGATCTGCGGTCCCTCGTCGATGTATTTGTGGCCGAAGCTCATCTTGCTCATGGCCTTGCGCCAGTGGTCGTTGTTGCGGAACTGCAAATGGCTGCGCAGCTCATCGTCATCAGGGTTTCGCTGCATGTTGAGGACGCCCTCCACCTCGTCTTCCCAGTCCTCCTTCTCTTTGACAAAGTATTTCAAGAACCTGGTGCGGATGCTGTTGAGCGCCGTGTGCTCCTTCTCCAGAACACTCTCGTCCTCCTCGTCGCTTTCCTCCTCGTCATCCTCGTCGTCTTCGGAATACTGATCGTCGTCCGACGAAGACGCACGGCGACCGCGGCCGGAGGAAGAGGTTCGTCGCTTCTTGGCGCCACGCGCGCTGCCCGAGGCTGACTTGGAAGGGCTCGAGCGCTTCGAGCCCGTGCTGCTGCTTGCACGGCCGTTGCGCTTGGGTGATACTGAGTGCTTGGCCTTGGCTGCGGAGCCTCGCTTCGACTGTTTGACGTATTGGTCTTCGTCGCTGTCCGCCTCGATGGGCTCGATGTCGTCCTCGCTCTCCTGGTCCTCGCTCTCTTGCAACATGCGCTTTTCGAACTTCTTGGGCTGCGACTTGGAAGGCTGCTTCTTCCAGTACGCGTTGACCAAATCTTGGGGAAGCTGCGCCTCTGGCTCCCACGTGTTTTCGCTGTCTGCATAGCCTTTCCACTTGATGAGGTATTCCATGTTGTACTGCCAAGGTCGAAAGCGGGACCCAGAAACTGCTGCAATGTCAGTTCCTATCCGCGCGCGCGCGCACGCTGCTGAGTCGTGGTGCGGAAAGCTACGAGATAGCGGGAGGAGAGGAAACTACTTACTGCTTCTTTGCCCTTCTTTTGACGATGACCCCGCACCTCTTCAATCTCGTATTCTTCTTCGCCTTCGCCTTCGCCGACCTCCTCGTCGTCGTCTGCGATCTCAATAGGCTCTTTCGCGTTGGCTTTGGCCTTGGCGTTGCCAGTCTTCCTGCTCGGGGTTCCTGCAGAGTCATCCTCGTCCGAAAAGTCGATGGCGACTTTGGCGGGCTGCTTGCGCCCGTTGGACTTGGAAGGCGAGGCGTTTGCCGAAGCGGTCCTGCTGCGAGGGGTGACCGCCATGATCAGAGAAGGTGCGGGGGATTCCGAAGACGCTGCGGAGGAGGTCTCGATAGCTCGGCGGGTCTGCTGAGTTGGCGCAGCCGGCTTGCTACGAAGAGTAGAGACAGCGCTGACGAGTGCGGAAAACAGCTTGACAGCTTTACCGTGGTGCAGTTGCCGTCGTTTAAGTGAGTGTAGATGGGTGCGCGTGTCGCACGGTGTGGTTTCGCAGATACGATTGTGTTTGTCGTCGATGGTGTGAATTGGGCAGTGTGATGCGCCTGGAGAAGAGGCGCGGGTTGGTGGATATGCAAGATGTGTTGAGCTGCAGATGTTGCGGTGCTGCTCTAGGGATAGGTTTTGTAGATGGTGGGAGTCGGGCAAGAGAGTGCTGCGCGTGCGGATATCTTTTGGACCCCTCCGAGAGGTTCGGTTGCAGACTTGCGCTGCTACCCCTGTGGTGAGCGCGAAGAAGTCGCGAGGTGGCTTGAGCTTCGGCTGCGCGCTTGCTCTTTGGCATCGACTCCGCGACGCGACTCGATGCGCGCAAGATCGGGACAGCCGATCTGCCTCCTTCTCCACCTCTCTCCCTTCCGAATTTCGTGACCGCGTGTCAAGGCACGATGGGCGACGCTGGGGGCAGTGCATTGGGCAAGTTGTCGGAAGCCCCCGAGCAGCTTGTAGAGCTCACTCTGCTGCGCAAGGCCGCACGAGCCCCACCGCAGCTGCCGCCCGGCGCCTCTCCGGCAGTATACCGAGTCGCCTGAAGCCACGGAAGAGGCTCTCTGATGAAGGTCCGGCCAACCTGAATCCGAGAAGGAAAGGGGATGTCCTCAGCCGATTGTGTGATTCGCCCTCTCAGCCACGCCGAGCCGACTTTCTTCGAAGCCGCGCTCCACCTAAAATCACAGCCACTCGCTCGGTGGGCGTCAGGGTCCAATTCGAGGCGCTCCTCTTGCCTCCATACGCATGCACTCCGTTCCACATCTCACAGTGTCTCGACCACACCAGCACATGTCCATGGTGTACGAACTCCAGCGTTAGCTCGCACCCTCAAACAACCCTCATCACCATGCCTTCCGAGGATCCGCCAGCACAACACCCTCAGGAGCGAGAAGAGCACCCTTCGGAAAGCTCATCGTCCGTATCGGGCCCTTCCGAATCGCACGAATCTTCACATGAAAACGTCCCGGCTTCTGCGCAGGAACCAGAAAGCGAATCGCTCGCTGATCCGGAAGACGCTTCTGATCAACACGAGACAATCGCTTCTGCCCAACCTGAGACTGATCAAGACAATGAGGAGTCCAGTGGCGGGGAGGACGCCGGCGATGATACCGCCGACGGCGATATCTCTATGGCCCAATCAGCGTCGTCAAGGCAAAGCGCGCCTTCCCACCGTCGCGTCGACTCGGTGCCACCGAAAAAGTATAACGTCGACGAAGGAGCAGCCAACGGCCTGGCAGCATCTTTAGCCGCAACCTCGCTCCACTCCGCCATCGCAGAAGACGACGAGGAGGCCGATATCTCCTTCTCGCGTCATGTTGATCTCACCGAGCCTCAGCTGGATCACAGCATCCCAGCCCAGCAGCAGGATGTGGAGGCGGAATCCCTTCACGCTCCTACTCCCATTGACAAAGCAGACCTCAACTTTGTCGACATCACACTCGACGCCCCGGAGGCGGAACTCTCGGTCACGGACACTGCATCGGCCTCTCTCCATCCTCTGGCATCTTCTGCGAGAACTGCTGAGCAGATCCGCCGTGACAGCGTCTCCAGCCACGACGTGGCCGCCCTGTCCTCGGCGCCCTCGGCATCGCCGAAACAAGCAAACGAGACCGCACCCGCTCCCGCCACTCTGTCGGCACATATCCAGCTGAGTCCTCCGTTGAGTCCCGATCCGGACAGCACCTCACGGAGCCTCGACAGCCCGTCGGCCAGCCGCAGCGTTGAGGGACGCTACCGTGGCCGTAGAAGCGCTGCGTCCAGCCGAGCCGCAAGCCCTACGCGGTCTCCCAGCCGCAGTCCTTCGCGTCGCACCTCCTTTGTCGTGTCAAACGCCCACGATCCTCACCCAGAGGGAAATGACCCGACTCTCAGACCTCAAGTCCCGGCAAGCTCTGCTCCAGTCCTGCTGGCAGCAGACGAGGACGGCAACATCAGCGTCGTCCCGGACGTCCCGCTCAGCCCCCGCACCATTCCGGAGGCACTGCCACGGGAACAGGACCGCGATTCCGGATTGTCATCACAACAAGCCGCCTCAGGGCAAGGGCCCAGCCAAGGGCATGCTGTTGCTGGGCGCGGGGCCACATCGCTGTCCGAAGAAGTGGACGCCGCTGAGGCTGCTGAAGCTGTTGAAGCAGCCAAGGATGCCGATTCGAAAGCTGACGCCAGCAATGACGCCTCTCTGACCGTGCCGCCTGCGGGCAGCAACGCTTCTGCGTCACCAGGACTGACGGATAAAGCAGATCAAGTCGATACCTCCAAACGTCGAAAGTCGTCGTTTGCCAGCAACGCCTCCAACGACCCGGTCGAGTCGAGAACCCGCATGACTACGCTTCCTGCCAAGTCCAAGGGCGAGGAGATCAAGCACCGTGCCGACTTTGAGCGCATGATGATGGCCGCAAAGGAAATCGAGCGCAAGAAGCGCGAAGAGGACGAAGAGCGAAAGCGCCGGCGTCAGGACGAGCAGCGCCAGGCACTCGGTCGATGGGAGAAGGAGATCCTGCCCTCGTGGTCGCGAGCGCGCAAGGACCCCGAGCTTTCCAAATTGTGGTGGCAGGGTGCGCCGCCGAGCATCCGCGGACGTGTCTGGGCCCTGGCCATCGGCAACCCGCTCATGCTGCCGCGCAACTTGCTCGAGCAGACCGAGCGGAAAGCAGCTGGTGGCGGTGGCAGCGCAGGTGGGCAGACGATCCCGCCGCGAGTCCAACATCAGATCGAGGAGGACACCGAACAAACCCTGCCAAGTCTCAAGCTGTTCCAGTCGAATGGGCCGTTGCACGAGGATCTCGTGCGGCTGTGCCGCGCGTTCGTGCTCGTGCGAATGGAGCAAATTTCGGAGCTGGATGGAGCGGGAGATGCGGATCAAGCCGCTAGTCGGCACCAGAATGCAAGTCCGTTGCTGAACAAGGTCGCGCTGCCCGGTACGCCAGCATCGGGCGAGTCGGGCGAGGAACAGGCTACATCCCACGATGCGGAGCCCGAAGACGTCTACGCCCAGCGCGGGATCGACGTCTACCAGCCGGGCACGTCGAGCCTGGCGGCGGTGCTGCTGATCAACATGCCGATCAACACGGCGTTCATCGCTTTGCTCAACTTGCTGCATTCCAAGCCGTGGCTCAAGGCGCTCTACTCGCTGCTGCCGACCAAGCTAGCGGAAGGCCACTTGTCGCCGGAGGCCAAGCCTCGAGGCAAGGCGGGCAGCGCGTACGCTGTTGCGCCGAAAGAGCGCGAGATCCGCGGCTTCGAGCGGGTGCTCGAGACGCTACTTGCGGATCAGATGCCCAAGGTGTACGCGAATCTGCTGGCGCACAATGTCAAGCTGTATCGCGTGGTGCTGCGCGACTGGGTCTCGACGCTGTGGACGCACTGGCTGGACGTGGACACGGTGATGCGGCTGTGGGATGTGGTGCTGTTGGACGAGACGGATTCGGTGATCTACCGCGTATGTCTGGCGCTCGTGCAGACGCTCGAGGCACGTCTGTATGTGCCGGACAAGGACGAGCTCGAGTCGGTGCTCAAGGGCACCAACCGCGCCGCACTTGCGATCTGGCGTCGCGACAAGCTGGCTTCGGGCCAGCTCGATGCGCTGGTTGCCAAGCGCCAGTCGACGAGCGGCACGCCACCGACAAAGTCGACCGACTCATTACCCGATCCGCCTAACCAGGAAGGCGTGGCCGAGGTGGCGATTCCAGCACGAGCAAGCTCATTGGCGACACAGGATGCAGCACCGCCAGAGGCACACGCAGAGCAAGACGTGGTGCCCGTAGACTACATCTACGAGCAGTACAATGTACAGGAGCACCACGTCTTTGACACGCTAGACGCCCAACTGCCCACCTGGAAACAGTCCACCCTCCAGCGCCTGCTCGACCGCGAACTCACAGAGTAGATCCCCAGCCCTGCGATCTAAGACTCGCCAATGCAATCGTCATTCTACACTTTCACAGTTTGTGTGCTTTGGGAGCAAAAGGTCGATTCTTCACAGCAATGGACCGGAAACAGGGGCAGAGAAATATGGTACAGACACGGCGCAGGTATGCGCGCGATGTGTGAGTCGGTCAAACAAAAGGGGGTCCCAGATGAAAACGTGCGGTCGTGGGTGCATCGTGGATGTTGATGTGTAAATGGAAGGCGGGAACTTTATCGCATGCTGAGCTGGGTGCGGGTGGGGCTCATGCTGCCATTCACCATCTCGGGCGGAATGGAGCCAGGCCTTCGACCCGTCTGGCTTCGCAGGCTGGCGGTGTGTTTCTCGAGCTCGACCGTGGTCCTGCGCCAGTTCTCCATGTGCTTGTCCGCCTGGCTCTTGTACTTCTCGAGCGTCTGCTGCAGGCTGTTGATCATGCTCTCGTCCACGCCCGCCTCGTGGATCAGAGACTCGTACGCCGCAGCCAGCTGGTCGTACTTGAGCTCGCTCTCGTCCAGCCCGGCTTGCAGGTCGCGGATCTGCGTCACGAGCTGCGTCATGTGCGCCTGGCTCTGACGCTGCTGCGCTACGGACTCCTGGTACGCACGAGTGACCTCGCCCAGCTTCGCCTCGAGCTCGCCGTTGGATGCGCTCGAACTGCTGCTGCTGCCGTTGCTCGCACTGTGCAGCGTGTGGCCGTTGGTCTTCTTGGCCTCGTTGCCGTAGACGTAGTAGCTGCTGGACCCGCGCGCGGGCGGCGCGGCAGCCGAAACCTTGGTAGGCATCTTGTGCGAACGCAGCAGATCGCTCTTGGCTGCAATGTCCTGTTCCAGCTCCTCGTGGCCACGACGAAGCTCGTCCAGGATCTGATGACGCAGACCGTCCGATGGTCCGCCAGTGACTTGTGGCGATCCGTGACCGGCAAGGATTAGCTCCTCGAGGTTCGTCATGGTGGTGCTGCGTGCGATCTGCGAGTTCTTGAGCTGGCGCTCGAGCTCCTGGATGTGCTGCTCGTACTGGCGACGCGTTCGGCTCACCATCTCGTCGGCCTGCAGATCTTTGCGACGTGCATTGGAAAGCGCCTCGTCGCGCTGCTGCTGCGCCTGACGCAGCGAGTTGGTGAGCTCGGCAACCTTGTCCTCCAGCTTCTTGAGCGACTTGGCATCGCCATTGGCCGAGGGAGCCACATTGCCGTACGTGGTGACAGCGCCTCGAAGCCCGTTGCTGAGGTTGGGCGAAGGTGCTGTCGCAGCGCCACCATTGCCTCGCTGAAGTCGCGTGAGCTCGCGCGTCAAGTCCTCGTTCTCGTTGACGAGACGCGCCTTGCTCTTCTCGAGCGTCTTGGTGTAGTGAGCAAGCTCCTGCAGCTTGGCCTGTGCATCTTGCAGCTGACGGTCGGTGTACTTTTTGGCCTCTTCAAGCACATGAACATGCTCGACAATGGTCTTGTTCTGCATGGACTGCAGCTTGCGCACCTCTTGCTGCGACAGCGTCAGCTCGTGCTTCAGACCGCTGAGCTCCTTGTCCTTGCCAGCTACAAGCTGCTGCAGACTGTTAGCGTTCCGCTCGGCTTGCTTGTGCGCCTGCTCAAGCAACTCGCGTCGCTTCGACTCGGCGCTCAGCTCGGTTGAGACCTGATCAGTCTTGAGCTTCCAACTCGCCTCGCGACGCTCGAGCTCGAGCAGCGCATCCTCGAGGTCCTGATGCTTGACTGTAGATGCCTGCAGCTGCTTCTCGAGCGTGTCCTTGTTCTTCAGGGCGTCTGCGAGACCTCGATTGATGACGGCCGACTTGCTTTGGGCTTCCTGCAGCAAGGTTTCGGCCTCGCGGCGGGCCTTTTCGGCAGCAGCAACCTTGGCGTCGGCATCGCGAACACGGGCTTCAGCGGCGCGCACTTGCTCCTCGGCGTCTTTGCGGGCAGAGCCATGCGACTGAGCTTCCTTCTGGGCAGCAGAGATCTCGGCTCGCAGCGCAGAGATCTGCTCGAGGCTCGAGTGCTTGGTCTCGGACAGCTCCTTCTGGACACTGGCCATCTGCTCGCGCAGTGTTTGGAGCTCTTGCTCTTTCATCCGGTGCAGCTCTTTGGTCTTGACGTCTTCGGAGCTCTTGGCCTCCATCAAGCGTCGAGTCTCGTCGAGCTCCTTCTGCAAAGCGGCCTTGGCCTGGTTGATGGTGGCCTGCTCGTCCTTGGCCGACTTGAGGTCAAAGCCGAACGTGTCGATCTTGACGTTGAGGTCGGCGACCTGCTTTGTGAGCGCCTCGCGTTCGCGGGCGAGGTCTGATGTTTGCTTCTGCAAGGCCTGAACCTCTTGCTCCTTGTCCTTGAGCTTTGTCTCGTGGCCGGCCGCGACGCGCTGCAGCTCGGAAAGCTGGTAGGACGACTGTCGAGTCTGGTCTTCGAGTTGAACAGCACGCTGTTGCTCCTGTTCGCGGCCCTTGGCCTCGGCCACAAGCTTGGCTTCGACCTCCTGGACGGCAGCAAGCATTCGCTTCTGAGCCCGGTCGAGGTCTTGCTCCTTCTCCTGGAGCTTTCGCTGCCAGTCCTCCTTCTCAGCCACGTGGGCCTGGCGTTCGGAACGGAACTGCTCTGCGTTGGTGGTGTGCTTGCTGAGATCGCGCATGAAGGTGTCTTCCTTGTCCTTCCACGCCTTCTGCTCAGCCTCGAGACGCAAGAGGTGCTCGGCAGCTTGGTCGAAAGCGGCCTTGAGTTCGGCATGCGCTTGCTCCGTTGCCTTCTGAGTTGCGATCGCCTTTTCGAGCTGGCCTTCGAGCAAGTCGACATCGCCCTGCAGGGCCGCCAGATCTTCCTCGAGTGCGGCTTCGCGCTCTTTGGATCGGGCGAGCAGCTGATCCTTGTCGAGGAGCAGGGTACGTTCCGACTCGAGCTGCTCTTCGATCTTGCGCTTTTCGGCCTCGAGCTGGAACTTCAGGGCTTCAAGGGCTTCTCGTTCCTTTTGGTCGCGTTCAGCCCTCTCTGTGACCATGGCGAGCTCGAGCTGCTTGCGCTTGAGCTCCTCGTCGTGCCTTGTGGCGGTGAGCAAAGGACGAACGCGAGTGTAGAGCTGCCACCAGGGCCATTCGCGGAGCTCGACGTACAGACGTGCGTTGCGCTGCACTGTGCGGACGGCTGCGGCACGATTGAGGATCTTCTTCATCTGGCGGCGCGCCGTGTACATGCGGCAGGCGGCACCGAAACGGCTGAAGATGTCGTAGAGGTGCGAATCGCGACGCTCCTCCATCTCTGCAAGGACGCCTGCCTTGAAAAAGATCTTGGAAGTGCCGATCTTGAAGGTGGACTTGTCCAACTCGAGCGACTCGACCATCCTCTGGCATGCCTTGCGGCCGTCCATGTAGCCCGGAGGAATGATGCCGGGCGTAAGGACCTCGTAGCGGTTTCTGAACTCGGAGAAGAGGAGACGGTTTGGATAACCGAGACGCGCGATTCGGATGCCTTCCAGCACACCGTTGCATCGAAGCTGCTCGAGCACGAGCGGGACATCCATCTTTCCAGGCTTCTTCTCTGGGTTTGGCACGATGCAGCGGACGAAGTGTGGCTGAGTGGAAGAGAGCTGGCCCATGAGCGAGTTGAGCTGTTCCTTGTGCCTCTGACCGACGGTGCGGAAGGCACCACGCTTGACCCGACGCTTTGGGGCCGAAGCGAGGGAGGTCTCTTCGTCCACCTCGGCGTACTCGGCGAAGAGGGTTGCGACGAAGCGATCGGTGGACTCGGACATGACGCGGGTAAGGTTATCGTTGAGAGGGTCCTTGTTCTTGTCGAGCCATCCGTCTGTGCGGTAGTCGACATCGCCGGCGTAATGCTTGACGGTGAAGCCTTGTGCGAAACGGGTGGGGGCAAACTTGGTGGAACCGTGAGCGAGGCCCTTCTCGGCAGCGAGGGCAGCGCCTGCGGCATCCATGGCGGTACCGTCCCTGTTGGTGCCCCAGATGCGGTTGAGCTTCTCGGTAAAGGTGAGGTCGGTGGCCCTGGGCATGATGCACTCTTCGTCGAGGCACGAGAGGATGCCGATGGGAGTGGTGGACTCGATGAGGTCGATGGTGGGCTGGAGATCGAGGCCAAAGTTGACAAAGTCCCACTCGATGTTCTCGCGCGCGTACTCTTCCTGCTCGAGCACGAACATGTGGTGGTTGAAGAACTGCTGGAGCTTCTCGTTGGTGTAGTTGATGCAGAGCTGCTCGAAGCTGTTGACCTCGAAGATCTCGAAGCCGGCAATATCGAGGACGCCGATGAAGCTGCTCTTGCTAGTGGGACGGTCGAGAGCCTTGTTGATGCGATCGACGAGCCAGCCGAATGCCTTCTCGTACAGAGTCTTGCTGAGTGCGGCCATCTCTTCCGAGACCTGTCGCATAGTGCGGGAGGAAGTCACCCACTCGCGGCCGGCCTTGACGCGCGGACGGAGGAGGGCGTTGGTGAACTCCTGCTGTGGCAGGCCAAGGACGTGGCAGATCTTCTCGACCTGGGGCATGTTGGTGATGCGGGCCTGCTCGGAGCGGTCGGTTGCGAGCTGAAGGTTGCCGATCTGAAGGATGGCGGCGGCGATCCTGAAGAGGTTGAGCTGCTCATCCGGGGAGAAGCCGACGGTGTCGAGCGCGTCGCGCAAGAGCTTCCACTCTGCGCGATCGTCGACGCCCTCGACGTCCTTGCGGGTGCCCTTGAGGTAGGCATAGTCGTCCGGGGAGCTGGAAAGGAGGAGCTTCTGCTTGAGCTCGGCGTCGCCTCCTCGGAGGAGCTGGTAGAAGATGTGGAAGCTTCGCTCGTTCTCGCTGCGGATGGCGACTCTGCTCTTTTCGAGGAGGTACCAATCGATGTTGGCGCCTGCGATTGCGCCAACCGAGGTGAACTCGATGCGGACAAACTTGCCGAAACGACTGGAGTTGTTGTTGCGGATGGTCTGTGCGTTTCCGAAGGCTTCGAGGATGGGGTTGGCCTGGAGGATCTGGCGCTCGAGGAGGCCGAGGCGTTT